TCTCGGATGAGAGGTGAAACGTCTTCAAGTAACTTAAAGAAGTCCAGACGCTTTTCTTTGCAAGCTCCTTTGACAACATAATAAGACATTAATTTTATAAATTCTGGTCCTCATTATAGTCATGGCAGGTATACTGTGTTACTGACAAGCTGTGACCCTAAAAGCAAGCACTGTCCCTCACATTGCTCCTCCCTCATCACATCTGGATTCAAAACACCAATATGGCAACATTGAAACCACTCAACGTAAGACATGAAAACAGGATTCACTAACAGATGTGTTGATCTCATCCATCTTTTATATGCACAAGTAGTTTCTTGATAGTCTGTAACAGATCATGGACTGTGTATAAAACCTTTGTTTTTGCCTTGACCTTCTTGAACAAGAGTCACATGTACACTTGCTTCTAATAACCCCATGCAGTGCGTGGCAGCTTTGCAACGCACGGGGTTTTGTGCTCGCTTGATAAAAGGAATTTCATGTTTATTGGAGAAAACTGTTATTAGTCAATATGCAGTACATCCAGCGTTTCTCAGACTACACTGTAACCAAATTGTCTGCCTGCTGACTCACTCCAAGTCAGACCGGGTGACTCCTTCCAAATGCCTTAAAATGTGAAAAATAATTGTTGCAACCCTGACAGTATAAACGTGGGTGGCACTTTTGGCAGGACCTTTTTTGTCCTTTGGCATTGCTAGTGGGCACATTACTCTGAATCTAGAATACCACTATTAAACATACAATACTCTGTTAGACATAGGCATTCATTTGATTAAACTGACAGGAATAGGAATAAAGAAAGTGAGTGGGTGTGTGGAAAGAGCTCTGCCGTCAGCCTCGTAGCCTTCAGCAGAAAACAGCCGCTGACTTCAAATCATTATTGAACAGAAAATCACGTATTATTTTCCTTAATGGTCAGCTTCTTTAAATGACTTTAGCGACTCATTTGGAGATAAGTTCCCATTGTTATAGTCTTTCTGTATATAAACACTGCCTCAGAACTGAAAAAAATGTTAAGGTAAAATTACATTTGGTTAAAATTTTGTATTTGTATGCACAGAGGCTGCGAATAATCATCAAAAAAACATTTCACGTACTGTATTGCAACAAAGCTGGGGCCTCTGGTTGCTGAAATGCTGGCTAATTGCAAACAAAGTCCTCATATTTAAACACAGACACTGAAACGTATTTTCACCTGCAAATCACCAACTAAATACTAAGCCTCTGTATTTTGATTGCTTTGACGAAGAGTTTATTTTCTGGGAACAGCTTTCATTAACTATTAAAATGTGAACTGGCAACACTGAAAAGTAAAACATATATCACTCTCACGGTAACTTTGAACAAAAAGCAACCAAACTGAAGGACACACCCAACCAATATTAAACAAAGGGCCACGTGGGCCTGCTGAGAACATGAGAACATGAGAAATACCCATCTAATGAGGTCTGCAGTGTATTCAGCTCAAACTGGTATAGTAAAGGAGGTTGAGGTAAACAACTTTCTCATATTAGGTACCAGATACTCTCAGACTTTCTGGGAGATGTCCGTGGTTTGCTCACGGCTGTTCTCTCACAGTATTTCTCCTCATTAAGGTAAACTAATTCCCTGTTTCTGTTTGAATCTGCCTGCATGTCCACCAATAAGACAAAATATCCTTAAGGCAATATATCATATACATGATCAGTGCACCAAATATGGACATTTAACAGCGTGCAGTGAAAAAGAAGAAATTTGGGAATGTGGTGGTGGTAGTGATAAACAGAGGGGTGGAAAAAATCTGGGAAGCCTTTTAGTTAATGAGACACATCATAAAAAAAGACTAATAATGACACAATGTGAAGTAAATACATCCATTTTTTTTTCTTATGGGCTTTTTAGGGGTCTTTTTTTCTTCACATCATATTATACTGTATGGTAGATGACTGTCTGGCAGTGCACTAAGAATCAGAATTGCTTTAGCTTTTTGTTTGGGCAACATATCAGGATAGTAACATTATTTTTAGCAGCTGCTTTCAGCTATAGATTTCTTATTATTATTATTATTCTACTTCTCCTATACAGGATAACTTCATTCTGTAAATGCATGTCTTTTGCTCAGTTCTGAACTTCATTCATTATAAATTTCTCTTTTTCTTAAGGAGACATGTTGTTCAAAAGAACACACTGCACCTGCAGAATGTCACTGCAAGCCTTTCTGATATATTCAGTCATTCATCAGAGAGTTTGTTGCCGTTTTTAGTCATCAGTCTTGTTTTGGGTTCTGGTAAACATAAGCCATTGTTCAGCAGTCTGAAGTGGAGAGAGAATGTGTGATTAAGGCTTTGTTTGGTGAAGCAGGGCAGAAATGATGACTGAGCGTTGGTGAAAAACCTGTAAAAACTAAGCTCTCTGAGGAGCAAACACATGAATATTGGAGCAGTGAAGAGAAATTGTTGTATTGTACTGGAAACAGATTTCCTATTTCCTATTAGGAAATATGTTTTCTGTTGCTGGCAATAAATTAATTTGAAATAATCCTAAAACACAAACTTATTTTGGCTGGTTTGGCACGATGTCACGTCTGAAATTCGAAGAAGAGGCGGGGTAACCAGAAGAAATATGTCCGGTTAGGTGTTTTCAAAACGGTGCAGGTGTTTCCTCCGCTTGAAAATGAGACGATAGACCACGATATAAGCAAACAAGTAAAAACAGCCAATCCGCTGCTTTCCTGCTCGGTTGCGTATGGGTTTGGATTGAAGCGTCTCTGTTGGGCACTGGGCTGCTCTCATCAATCGTACAGACGCTCGGCACTTGTGTGTGTGGATCTTCACTCCTTGGATTGTGACTTTGAAACAACAGACCCAGGGCAGTGATTTTTTTCTGATTAGATTCCGCAGTCTCTGTGAGTATTAGGGGCTACAGCTAGATGATAAAATATTTTAAATGCTGATGAGAGTTTGGCAAAAAAAAAAGTGCAACTCGAATAGATGTGTCCAACTGCTGCTGGACTTCAGAAGCTATTAAAACACACGCTGCCCTGCCGGTGTAGCATGGCCACGCTGCACTGTCAAAACAAAGGGATAACTAACTAATAAGAAAGCAATCAACAGGATCGATCGACACGGCTGATTGAGGAGTCCACCCCAAGTCTCTAAACTGGAGCCTGCTGCGAGCATCGATTAACGGATTTGACAGCTCACCTTCAGACATCTAACAGCCTCAGAGGTAAGCAGTGGAATTCAGGCTATAAAATATCTTCACTGGGCAATGAATTGGCTGCAGCGTATTATTGGAATATGGGGATTGTTTTTCTTTGTCCGCATTTAATCACACAAGTGCTGCGCTCAGCCCCACACCTGTTGTTGTTTGGCCCCGTCAGAACCAGCGGATGTCCACTCGTAAGAATCTGCGGGTGATTTTCGCTGCAGTTTTATGTGCCTATGCAGATACTGTGGAGACTGGGTGAAAAATAGGCTTGAACATAAGTCCGCATGATACTTCGTTTTCCCTTCTATGCACTGACATTTGCGCAAGATTTCAGTCTAATAAAGTCTAGCACATTGTTCCTGAAAAAACAAACAAACATGAATGTGGTTTAGCTTAAGCAAAATCGGGTTGAGATATATTTTCGACTGAAGTAGGTGTTTCTGAGCTTTGATTCAAACAGCATAAGATCTGAAATGAAGGTGTTTAAATGAGAGGGGGAATGCTGTTAGTGATGATGGTAGCTGTTGGAAAATGTCATTTCTATCGCACTGATGACAAGACAGCGCGGAAAGTGTCTGTCTTGTATGTATCTTGGGTCGATGTGAGGAAGACTTCTCACTGTGGACCCCCTGCCGGGACGCCGCCCCCCTTCCACCATCCCCATCCTCCTGTTGCGAGGCGTCCAGCGCGCACTCTTGCTCCACACGGTGGCGCACGCTTTTAAGACTCTCCCAACATGTTCCGCTCTCTGTGGTTTCTCCCAGCAGGTCCCCGTGTAGACCTGCAGAGCGCACTGTAAGCAAAACCCACTGTGTTATTGGGACCGTCTATACAAAAACACCCTTTCAGCCTTTTTCACGTTACCTGTCATTTTTCTTTCTATTTCCCTGTTTTTCGTCTTTTTTCGTCTCTAATTAATCTCTAATAATTCACGTGTCTTTATTTTTTTTTTCTTCCTCTGTATCTCTCCCTTTCTTTTCGCCTCGCCCTTTCTCCCTCTCTGTGGCTTCTCCGTGTGTACTTTGCCAGTACAGCCGCAGGCAGGCAAGCAGAGCTGAGTCTGTCATCGGGACTCACTAATGAGCCCTCACTCCATTTCCCCATGTGGAGGAATGTTTGCGCTGTAGAGTGAGCGAGCGAGCGAGTAAGGTGGGGGAGAGAGGGAGACAGACAGGAGAGGGAGGGACGGCGGGAGTGAGTAAGAAACCAAGAGTGGAGTGTGAGAGGAGCTACCGTACCTGCTGCTCTCACTGCTCAAATATTAACAACGGATTTCAGGGAACTGATGCTGCTGCTCTGGGACAAACCCAAACTGTGGAGGCAGCCGGGTTCAGTGGTTTGTGGACAGGCACTGTACTGCTGCTGCTGGAGGCACTGCATATAAAAGACTGATGGAGGAGGAGGTCACAGAGCCGGATCCTCAGATGGTGGAGCCCTCCAGCATGCCATCGCCAGAGACACATGCGGAGGTAAATGGAGACTTGCCGGGCAACCCATACCTGAGGGATGATGGGACAGTGGACGTGGTGGAGAGTCCGGCAAGGGAGCCTGTTGTGCTGCAGTATCCTACAGAGTACAATCTCAGCCACCAGTGTGGGTAAGAATCATCATATGGGAGAAACAGAGAAAGGGTCTGTTGCTGCAGGGAGCAGCTGATAATATGTGCAGAGAGGTGGCACTTCTGTGGAGCACTCTCGTCTTTTCTTTTCTCAGTTTGGAGATTGAATTCAGCTTTGCAGTGATGGTTTGATGAATTGGCTTTACACTCACTTGGCCGATGTTTAAACCCCTCGTGTGCCTTTGCTGCCCAGTCGATGGCACTGGAAGTCATAGAGCCATAATTTAATTTCACAAAAAGTCCATATTTCATTGACAAATGGAAATGTTTTTCACGTTGCCTGTTGTGACTTGTCACCTTACACACCATTCGAATAGATAAAGTTGAATGATCAAAAGCAACAGGCAATTAAATAAGTGTCACCATGACTTTTGAGAAGGGATTACTTTGTTTTCAGGTCTGTTTTAGCAGCTGTGTTGTGCATTCGCTGTATTGTATAATATCGTCTTATGGTCACTGTGTTTACAGAAACTGAGTCATCAGATGGCACCAAAGAGCCTCACACCACAGAAACACCACTGTAACCGAAATGACCAACTTCTGGTTTGGTCTGGAAATTATTATTTTTTTCATTGTTTTTATTTTAACATCTGTCATTTCTCTAATTGGCAATTTATTTTATGACCAGTTGACAGACTATGCTCTCATTTTAATCTCTGTGATGAAAAATGATCTAACTACACACAAAGTTTCTGCTGCATTTATTTCCGTGGTTGGACCTTTTCAAGAAATCTGCCAGTGTAGCCAAACTTGAGTCTGTGACATCACATCAGGTGGTTTTGTTTTGCTGTTACATCTTTGATGGAGGATGTATTTTTACACAAAGCTGTCACTGTATTATGTCCATTATGAAGCTGATCTTGTGGCTGGAGCGGTTGCTGTTGGTACACATTGTTCTCCTCGTGTCCCGCTCTGTATTGGCCCATTGCTGTTGGCTGTTGTGCTGCAGGGTCTGATGTAAGAAATTGCCATCTGGCCTCCTTGTCATGCAGGAAGCTCTGAGTAAGGCTGTGCTCGTTCATCAGGTTTTGCTTTTTTTCAAAAGTGAAACCTCAGAAATGAGGACGGGCTGCTTTTGCACTTTTGATGCGGTCATGGGTCAGTTAGTGATTTCTTATAGGATTCAAGGTGAGGGATTCAAGGGACTGACTGAGTTGTTTGTATAGTTATGAGGAAAAGCATCGGTATATTGGTGAAACTCTGTTTGATCATTTATATCACATCATATAGTTTTTGTTCAGAGAGATAGCGACTGTTTCTGGACATTTACACACAGTTACAGCATGAATACACCTTAAATGGAAGTCCATTGTGCTTAAATTGTAGTGCTAAAATGGTATGAAAATTATTGAATTGAAAGAACCTTTTTTTTTATATTACATCTCAATTCCATTATATTCAAACAAACATTAAAAAAGAGCATTTGGAGAGTATCTGCCCATAAAAATGAAATATTTTGTGGTTTATAATTTTTAACATTTGGGATTGTTTTGGCTTTTGATGTGCATGTTCAACATCTTTTGCGACTGTAATCTTTGGCATCCAGTTGATGGACAGTTTGCAGTGGAATGAGTTCATCATGTCTTCCCGCCAGTTATTTGAGGACATAAGACATTTTAATGGCAGCTGCATAATTGCAGCTTACTGCTTCTTCCTTTAGGGTCAAACAGTTTTGATTAGTCATGTCACCTTTGTATTATCCTTGAAGTGTCAGCACAAGTAATGCTTTCCCCGTAAGGCATGCGACTTTGGTGAGATTTTATTTATGTCTCAGGTGTAATAGGGTTCATTTTTGCAGTGACCTAGTCTTTACAAGACTAGAAAGACTTAAAAGTATTAAATTGGTGCATTAATAGTTTGTTCTCCCTTCAGCTAATGTGTAATACTAATATTTAAAGTGATTAAAATGCTTTGAAAACAAAGCTGTGAATGCTCCAAATGGCATTTAATTTTCTTAGATTTGCCACCTTCAAATAAAAAGTGGCTTTTAAAATGTCTTTCTTATATTACTGATTGTCGTCCGTATTTACACAACCATCTACCATGAGTCATCTGTGGGAACTTTAATCATGAAAAAAGGAAACATGAGCTTCACTTTGCTCATACTCAACTTTAGCCTTTTTTTTTTTTTAAACCATGACTGTTAAAAACATTCATGGACTTTTATCCATCTGAGGAAGATCTGTTTTTAAAATCATGTTCGTGGTTAAGTTTTATTGTCAAGGTTTTTGGTTAGACATTGCAGAACAGTTCTGTGTTCTTTTTTTGAGCTTTTAATCTTATTACTTTTATCTTTGGGATGAAAGTTGAGGATTTAAAAAATTAGAGACTTCAGACTTTTATCTGTGACCAACTCTTCTTAAAAAATCAAGACTCTTGATGTGACAGCTCGGCCCATGATTAAATGCCACAGGTCTAATCACAGCTAGTGCGACCATCAACAATGGTGTTCAGTCAATTCATACACTGTCCTTGAGCCAGATTCTGACTCCTATCTCACTCCCTCACAGACTGAAAGTCACTTTGTGTAACTGCATCAGCTAATGGCCTCAACCTATTGTAAAATTTGAGTTACTATCCTATAAAACTATAGGGCGGGTTTCATCTGCGTTTAGTGTCATGCTCTTTTGTGAAGTTACATAAAATGTACTTTTGGGCAAAATATCTTCTAATCCATTCTAGTAAAAATGAAACAATTAGGGGATTAATTGCTTTATGGATAGTCTCTTAAATGTGTGAGGATATGGTGCTTTTCTTAATTCTTTGTCATTGTGAGCTGGATTTTAGGCTTTTTGTCAGTCAGAACAAGCGCAGGGATGACATTCGAGCGGATCATGTTGTAATATTTCTGATTTAAATAAGTAAACGAGTGAAACCAGTTGTATGTAACTGTTTGTAATCGTCCATCTTCAAATACATATACAGAATTTGTCATTCTGTGCCATTTCAGTAAAATCCTCAGGAACATCTGCTGATTTCTGTGGTTCACTTTTATCAGGCACTCGATCTGAGTATTAAATTCCATGATCTCGCCTCCTTTTCCCGTTCAACTAATATATATATATATCACAGCATGCGGAGAGTAAGGATTAGATGAAGGGAAAAATGGATGTGGTCTTGGTTGATGCGATCACTTCTGATTTAAGTGATTACTGCATGCTTTGTTCCTGAAGGGCAAATTAGCTTCTTCAGCTGAGACCTTGATCAATTTAATCAGATCTAATGATGCTGAAAACTGTGAAGCGCTCTGTTCTACACTGTCTTTCTAAGGGGTTGAAGGTCGGTGTTTCATCGTCTCAGCACATTATCTCACACTTAATCTTTTGCGTTATTAAACACCATATCCTTGAGATATTTTAGTAAAGTGTTATCTAAATCTTATCCTTTC